ATACATTTAATGCCATATCTTGGCAATAATTCACCTTTGACTTCCGACAATCTCCTCTTCGATCGTATCATCCTCCTAGATGAGGAGTCAGGCGTCCATTGGAATTCTTTGCAATCTACCCCCTGAATCCTGACCACAATAATAGACTGTCAACGTTTACGCCAAGGAATCGGGTGAAGCGCGATCGCGGGATGAGCACACCGTCCAGATGGACGTTTACAGTTTGGGGTTTTCTGTCGCGGGCGAACAGGAGGAGGAAATCCAGGAAAGCTTAGAGTTGGTGATATTTGAGTCAATGACGGCCGGGTAGATTGTGATCAAGGTGTGACCACCGTCGAAAGGGTGGTATGATGATGACATATTAATATTGTCTCATTCGCGAATAATGAATAAGGAGGCAATACTTATTGAACGTCCCTCGTACCATGAAATATCTAAATTTAAATCTAAATTTCTTTTTTTTTTCACCTTAAAACAATCGCGGTCTTTATTTTGCGCGTGTGCCCACACGCCAATTTTCTCCACGATCATGGGAATATTTTCTTGTTATCGTTAATTACGATTACTTCGACCGCAGGAGAAAAAGAATGAAAGACAGACACTCGTGATCACTTTCCCTTCTTGGGAAGTAAAGAATCCACTTCATTTTTGTTCCTTGATACAGCCTTATTACAGAATACTTGCGATTTCCAGTTGTAGATGAGCTGGATCAAGGGCATGTACGTCTCTATTAGGCTGTGCCTTATTTCTAGGAAATGAAATTACGAGGCTCACCTCATGCAGTAGCGTACACAACATTTCTAAATGGGGCTAACGGAACAGCTCCGTGTCTAGTGGAGGTGTGTGTGCAGGATGAGAGGAAGGCCGAAGGGAAAGAAACGGGCTTCAGGAGAATTTCAGTTGCCATCTGGAGTTCGCCGAGTCACTTACGGCAGTCCTAGGGGAAGGGGGAGTTCAAGAGGCAAGTCCCTCGGATCCTCTTTTTTTTCTTCTACAGTCAATTTTAATTAAATTTTTTATTTTTTATTTTTCTACGGATTCGAGAAGCCCATACTTCAAACTGTTCACATGCAAAGTTTCAGCTTCTGTGCAGTGGTTTCTTTTGTACATGGCCTTTCATTGGTAAACTTTTCAAATGGGTCACCCTGTATATCCCAAACTTCTTGCATTATGGGTTCTGTGAAGTGGTATTTTTCATCAGAGGTGAACGAAAATGTTTAAATGATGACCCTAAATATCAGGTCATCCCATAAGTAATGCGGTTTTTTCGCATTGCCAAACTTGTGTCTTGTTTATACGTGTATCTTTGCACATCTCATGGAATATTTCTATGCTAACTTGTGTAGACGTTAGTCTTGAATCTACGTGTAGGTTTTAACGAGTTAACAGTGCTCCGTTTTTATGAAGCGCGTTCAGGCCGACCTGTTGAGTTCGATGATGACCTGCAGATAGCCACACTTGAAGATTATCCTGCTAATGAGTCGATTAAAAAACGGCGCTTGAAGTAAAAGGGTCGAATTGAGTTTCTGGGCAAGTTCTTCAACTGTTACGGCAGGATCTTCTTCAAGTGTGGCTATCAGCAGGTCATCTTCGAACTCAACAGGTCGGCCTGAAAGCGCTTCATCGGCTAAGCTGTAGCCGCCAGACCTGAATTTCTGGAACCACTGTTGGCATTTCCTCGCATTTAGAGCTTCTTCGCCAAAAACATCTTGAATGTTTTTCGTGGCTGCAGTCGCGTTATTCCATTTCTTAAATTCATAAAGCATTATATGCCGAATGTGTTCCTCTGACACCTCCATCTTGTTTTTAACATCTAAGAAAAACGGAGCGCTGTTAACTCGTTAAAACCTACACGTAGNTCGCCAAAAACATCTTGAATGTTTTTCGTGGCTGCAGTCGCGTTATTCCATTTCTTAAATTCATAAAGCATTATATGCCGAATGTGTTCCTCTGACACCTCCATCTTGTTTTTAACATCTAAGAAAAACGGAGCGCTGTTAACTCGTTAAAACCTACACGTAGATTCAAGACTAACGTCTACACAAGTTAGCATAGAAATATTCCATGAGATGTGCACAGATACACGTATAAACAAGACACAAGTTTGTCAATGCGTAAAAACCGCATTACTTATGAGATGACCTGACATGTATGCAGGTAAAATAAACAGGGTGGCCTATATATAAGTTTACTGAAGGATTTTCGTCTGTAATAATTTATTAACCTTTGTTAACTATGTTACGTGATTATTATTCCTTCCTTTTTGTATCCTACTGACAGCCGTGTTTGTTTACAACTGAAATGGCTCATCGACCTACCAAAGAGCAAATTGTTCTAATAATTAATTATTGATTGGGTAAACTTATTTGATGCTTTGTATTTTCGGAAAAAGTATTTGAGATGTAGTTACGTTTTAGCATTCGATGAATACATGTCTTCCGAATATTGGAGTGTCTTGGCCATCTGCCTTTCATCGCAATGAAGGAAATAACACAAACTTTAGAAAAATAGAATCTTTATTCCAAATGATTATTGCAGCTCATGGATATGAGTGTCAATGAGGCATTTAAGAGAAAACAGTAATTCCTCTAGGTGGTAGGGTTTCGTTGCCAGATGCTTTTTTTTTTTATAAAGAGCAGGAATGAAAGTTTTCCTCAATCGATACCCCTGTGCGCATTATCATCTGAGTAAAATGATATGAAAGGAAAAGAACAGAGGTCTTCAAGAAGTCACTTTCAAAAACTCTCGGGAATGGAGGTGAGATGAGAACACAAATTATCACTCAATTCCGTTGGCTGGATAACTTCCCCCGTTTTTACATGCCCCAATGTATACATAGCAGAACTGGCATGAGGGGTTAAAAAACTAACTTGCAAGTACGTAATAGAAAATTTGGAGGGAAGAGGAAACTTCCAGAATTGACAGTACCATAATTCAATATTTAGTCATTAGGGTTCCTACATTTTAAATACTTCGGGGGAGTTTTCAGAAGGAAAAAGGATCTGAATCTTATGTAAGGACACTATAACTCCAAATACGAGACCCTCATAGACCTTTCCAAGAAAAAAAGTTTCTTTAGAGGAGAAAGTTTAGATGGGGAGTGGTAAAAGGAGTGCTGCACCTGAACTTGGGATGTTATTATAGACACTAATGCTTCTTCACTTTGCAAGCCAAATCTTGAACTTTCTGGAAGAGATCAGTTCCAAATCTTAAACACTTTCGATCACACCTACATAATATCTCAGGATCACTCTTTAGGCGGATCTGACCTGTCACACTTAGAACAGGAATAATCACTGTTTCATTGCAATTGGAATTTCTTGTAAGCAACGTCAAACATTAATTTCCAAATCCATGATCATATATTGTACAAAGACGAAACCATTTTCCTTGTGGATTGGCTAGATTAAGGATGACATGTTGACTAACATCTCATTGAATGAGAAAAAAATCAAAACTAGAACTCTCAAGATGAACTTTTCGGTTCCAAAAGCTTCATCAGTCACTCTAGCTCATCCACTGACTGCAACTCCAGATCTGTTCCTTCCTTCGAAATTTTTTTCTGAGATTTGGGAGAGATACAAAAGTCAAGAAGAAAAAACATGCAATTCATATTCAGCAGTTACAACAATGGCCTAGTCCTCATGAATGTGGTATGGAAGACATTTAACCCATCTCACTCTTACATCATTGCTAAGAAGATGATACAGGGCATTTAATATCTTGCACATTGTAATAGGGGCTTCTCTTCCCCCACAACAATGCAAATGTTGCCCATGTTTGAGAAAAGCTTTTACCTGCCAAAATCCAGCATCACCCTTAAAGAAGAGACACTTCCATGATTGAATCAACTGATCAAGCCCTCCAGTTCTGACTAGAGCTGATAGTTTAAAGAATAGCCATGCAGAATAATAAATAATAACTAAACGTAAAAATGTATGGTACTTATCTTCATACAGATTGACCAAAATATCTATATCCTTATTTTATTCATTACTCCATTTGTACCAATTAGGTCATGCTCATGTAACTTTGGGAATGAATAGAACTCCTCTTTCTTGATCAAAATAAATTTACTCCAGGGAAATACAACTCACAGTTGCATAGTTGTTGCACAATAATTTATTTACATCATGAGTTAAAAAGCTGCAGTGGTGCACTTACCCCTGGAGCCCTAGAAACCTTCCCAGCATGTCATACCAACAGACAGAATACAATATGAGATAGAGGCAAGAAACTTACTAGATGTCACATTCAACTAGAGTAATGACTTTATAATTAAAATTTCTATGAAACAGGTTGCTCAAAATCCACATCATTTGTTGGATGATGCCTCAAGTGTTTGTATCTACCTGCTCAATTGGACTGTATTGGGACCAGTCCTATTGTGGAGAAAGCAAACATCTTGAGTTCATACCCTGACACATTCCATAATTTGACATTGCATGGAAAAATAGTTTACTTGGATTCTGTATGACCAACTTCATCTAAACTTTTATGAAATCACCTCTTGCATTGGATGTGACATCCTGTGAATTTTCTGCTCATAATTTTAGAAATATTCTGTCTGCAGGCATGGAGAGGTTGGAGGGCTATTGAGGCCTCCTGGGGAAATGGCATTTTTTACTTCTTAAAATTAGAAAATTTAGTGTAATAACTAAGTCATACTTCCTTGGAATACTATGTATCAAGAAAGAGGAGTACTATTTATCCTAAAAATTGCATGAGTGAAACCAAATTGGTACAGATGTAGCACAAAATAAAAATATTTAAAGGCAAGTCAGAGTTCTAACTTCATCTAATATGCACCAAGGGATCAATTTCACTCCAAACTAAAGCAAACAGCAAAGTTTCAATGCCCTCACATCAGCATGACAAGAACTGCTGAAATTGAAAGGCACTGATACCTGAAGTATCAAATATGACAGATGATATTGTAAAACATCAAGGTATCTACAATATACTGGGATCTTTGTGTGTAAGCTCGGATGGGGGTGGAGTCATTCACCATGATCAAGGGTTGATGCATCTACATTTTGAGAGACTACACGATAGACCCCATCTGCAGAGAACAATGGTTCCAAGGTTGTTACTTCTCCTGAAGAAACAGGAAAGACATTGGAGAAGGCCTGGGATTCCTCAGAAATGGAGGCATTGGGATAAGGAGGAGGGGGAGGGAGACCCTCTGTTGAAACCTGAATTGGAAGCACTACAATGGACTGTTGGCCTGCTTCATTCTCGAATGTTGCAATGCTCCCTGTTTGAATCACAGTCACCAAATGAGATTCCATCACAGCTCCATTATATCCAGGATTCTCATTCAACACCAGCTCTTCACGAATGTTTGCCTTAGATGGTCTCAGGGAGGATTTTGCCACTGGGACTAGATTTCCCTCCCCATCTGGCTCCAGGCGTTGAACGACTCGTGTCGATGGGAGATCCTGGTTGTGACAGGATCTCACGTGTCGACGGAGGTGTGACAGCCGCTTGTACCCTTGCGGACAGGTGTGGCATCTGAAAGGCCTCGTGTTGGAATGCGAGCTGAGATGACGTAGTAGAGCATTTCGCACCTTGAACTTCTTCCCACACTTCTCACAGGCATGTAAACGTTCCTTTGAATGCACATAGGTGTAATGTTCTTTTAAAGTGGAGCTGGTGTAAAAGGAGGCACCACAGAGCTCACAAACAAAGGAGCGGGATGACGTATGCAAGGCCATGTGTCGTACCAAATTGCTCCTCAAGATGGAGGAGAAGGAACAAAATTGACAGTGATAGCTGGGGCTAACAGGGTTTCGTGCAGAATGCCGCCTCATCATGTGACGCTGGAACTGGTTCTGGCTTGAGCAGCGGATCCCACAGGCATCACACATGTATGTCCTCTCTGCACCTTCTTCCCCCTCATCCTCACCTGCTGATAGAATATGAACATATACAACTCACTGGCATGAAAGAATGGGATTGATTATGGCTGAAAATATGCACCCTTGTGATCTACATTTTGTAGTTAGTAAAACTACTTTTCTACAATGAAAGCAAAAAAGTAGAAATGACAAAAAAAAGGGGGGAGAGAGAGGGATAGAAGGTCTGCTTTAATTTCATTCTGCAAGCAATTGAAGCTCAACAAGCGAGAAGCACCTCTCTCCTTATAGGCATACTTTACCTCACTTTCATCTTCCCATGATATTTTGTGGATGCATGGATAGGTTTGGAACAGTACTGGTTGTTGCCAGTTCTATTCTCAGGTGACTATTACTCAGAGATTTGCTGCACATGAATTTCCACAAATGAGCCAAATCTGAGCTCATATGTTACCTTGCAGGAAGAAGATGCAACTACTTCTGGATCACTTTGCAATTAAAAAGTATCAGAATGTTTCATTAAACAATCTGAATAACATTAAATTAGCAACTTCTATGTTTTTCAAAATGACTTATTGTCATTTCATGAATGCTGAATGTATTCAGTAGTTTCGCTTCCATGATATGAGGAAAAATACATATATCAATAACAAATGCCATTGAATGAAACAGAACAAATATCAATGAAGTTGACATTAGAGCCATACTTGGGAGATCAGATGCAGTTTGTAGCTTATTGTGGACCTCTCGGATGTGACGATCCATCTTCTTCTTAGATGGGAAATCCTCACGACACAGAGCACATATGTTCTGCTTGTGAGCCTAGCGAAGGAAATGGGTGAAAAGGAAATGGGTAAAATTCAAATTATGCAAGATCATAAAAGAAGTGAGGACTCTTACATTCATATGCTTGGTATACTGCTGGATCCCATGGAAATTCTCATTACACTTGGAACATTTAAATTTGGAAGTATCTGCATGCCACTTCATGTGTCCTTGGAACTCCTCAGCATTGCTGCAGATCTCACCACACTTGAGACACACTCGCTGACTCCCCTCAGCATGACAAATGAGATGCACATATAATGAATGGGATTTAGCGAATTCCTTCTTGCAGAAGTTGCATTGATAAACCTTTTCACAGATCTTTTCCCCATGTTCCCGCAATACATGCTTCTTGAGATCCTTACGCCTGGTGAAAACAGCTTCGCAACTCTGGCAGCCATTCCGCTCGTGTCCAGATAGATGCTGGTTGTAATTAGCCGCTGTTCGGAAACCCAGGCCACACTTGTCACAGATGAGTGCTTTCTCAGGTGGGTGACAGTGATGGAGCTGGAAATGCACAAAGTTGTGGAAGTTTTTGCGGCAGGTGGCACAGGAAACAGTAGCTGGGTCGTGGCAGCCTGGAATGTGCTGAATCAATGAGCCCTTCTGCTGGAAAACCTTGTAGCATTTTTGGCAAATGAAGGATTGCGTCTTGGAGGATTTCACTGCTCCTGAACTCATCATCCTCTCTTCCTGGAAAACCAGTCATATCCAAGTCCACAATAATCCTATAATTCCAATGTGGTAAGCTCATTTGACTCTGACAACGCACCTTTGTAGGTTCAGTTTGCTGAACCTGGCTGTCCATTTTACCTGGGGAATTCCCTCCTCCCAACCCTCCTGGAATAATTTCAATGCAAGTTTCACAGAACCTTGTAGACAAAACATGAAGTCTTTCCTGTTGTTAAGAGGAATGCCAGCATGATAAAGCTTTAATTCCCTGACTTTGAACACAGTCTTGTGAAACTTCATATAAGAGAGCCATTCACATACCAGAATTGACATCAATCAATGTGCAGGTATGAGAATCCTCGCTGGATTTCTCGGGGGCCCAGGCTTTGGCCTCTTGAAACAAATGTCTGAGGTCATCCAGGGCCTGGTTTCGATCTTTGTCTGGGATCTTTTTCAGCAGTTGCTCCATTGACCGCAGCTGCCAAAAATGAATAAAACCAAGGATAATGTAAAGAACCATGGCAGAATACTGAATTACCATAAGAACGCTCAATGAGAAGTATTACTATTACCTTTGAGCTCACCAAAACATGCAAGAAAATGCTTCACAGCAGGCCTATCTGAGGGGCAAGTAACGTATAGGCTTCAAAGTTACTTGCCTTAGAAGCAGTAACTATTTCTATTCTGAACAACTCAGTCAACTTGTTATAACAGGGTCCAACAAAGAAAGGCAAATTTGGTAGGCCTACATCACTGACCTGAGTTTTGAAAGCCTCAATAGAGGACGTTTCCCCATCGGCATCCAGTTCCTCCCTGGTGCCTTCCATGCTGATACGGTTTATCGCTCCTTCCTCGATCCTCAGATCCCGTGCAATCTCCAACGCCTGCTTTACTGACCGAACAGCTAGCTTAGCGCCAGATCCAGGAAGGTTATTAGAAGAGTGAAAGTCGCGCTCGCCACCAGAAGCTGAAGGCCTGGCAGTAGCCATGAGTATACAATATATCTTGTCGACCTGACATGAATCTTTTTAAAATCGAAGCTCTATTTTCGTTTTGATATAATAGATGTCGCGACCTGCCCGCCTGGAGCGTTGCGATGATCGTCCGACTTGCCATGCCAAGAAAATGTGTGGTTTTACCCTGTAACTAGCAGAATGTTCAAATGTTTAACTCTGCCTCATATCTTCTTTCCTTAAGAATCTCTTCTAAATACTTTGTACAATTACTATCATATATTTCTTCACAAAAATATACCGAGTATCCAGCCGTTCAAGTTCACGGTGTAGCCGACACAAACGGCTAAATTTTTCTATCTTGGTCGTTCGAACCCAGAACGGAAGTTGCTCGGTTAACTGAGACGAATGCTTCCGCCCAGTTGAAGCCGGCCTTGCCTGACCAGTTGAGTCATGATGACTCGTCCAGTGCGAACCCGGCGGAATCCTGCAATAGACCGACATAGGCCCGTGTGATGCGCTTGGCTGCACGAAATGGGTCATCGTTCCTCTGCCAACGCGAGAGCAGAGTCTGATTGAAACCAGAGAATTTTTCGCGCAAGGGTGGCTATGGCAGCTAAAGTGGTTCACTACAGCTTATATCGTGATGACGCGTTTTCAGAATATTTGTTCCATCGCATATTGGATGGTATTACCAATGTCTTCATTGATTAAAAAAGGACCACGGGCAATAAAAAAATTGTTATTGAAAGTATTAATGTTATCAATACGGCTTTTATATTTATTTTCCATGCTTCAGCTGTTTATTCACGAGAGAGCGTCGAATCAAATGCCATCGGAATAATTAGTTTGAAATTTGGTCTGGAGCTGCCTCTGTCGCTTTTTCGTTGCTGGAATGCCTCTTTTCTCTTTATTTTATTTTTATTTTTTCATAGAGCGAGAGAGCGAGCAATGAAATCCAATGGGAGTAGGCTTTTCCTCGAGGGAATTAAACAAGAAAAGGAAATGCTCCGGAAAAGAGATTAGGGAAATTTTCATTTCTTCCATCTCTCAAACCATCAATAATGCTTAATAACTTTCATTATAAAAAACAAAGGCGTTTGTATTTTACGTTTCTGGCATGAAGGAACGCACGAGGGAAAGACGTTTTTCTCGTCCCATTCACATGCGCAGTACTTCACAGTACTTCACAGTTTTGCCGAGTCCAAAGACTGTGAGCGAAGAAAGAGACCAAGAAGGGAACGACATGGCAAATGTTTCCATGAAGGCAACCTAGTCCATGAGTAGGTTACGTAATTATTTACTCTTTTTTTTTAGGAACTCGTTTCTGTTAAAGTTCATTTTCTGTCACTATGACAGAAATTGCTATCGCCACCATCCAGACGGAAAAAAAAAGAAATGAGTGGAAGGAAAAGACAAGAATGGAGACATTATTGTCATATTATTTTATTTTTTTATACCGAAAACGATTACTAATACAATACAAACTTCACCAAAAAAAAAAGAAAATACCGTCACTCGTTCCATCCGAGATGGAACTATCACTGTTACCCGTTCCTAAAATGTGTAACGTTACGTACCTCTTCCCAGCTCCCTTCTTATCTTTCCACGAGGACTAGGAATCGTGCCGGTCTAAAAGATATTGTAACGTGTACGATGACGATCCGGTCTCCGACAATGAGCTCGTTCGTGCAGCCCGATGCCGAAACCGCCGTGTTATCATTCCGTGTTATTGTTATGTTATTAATATTGCTCTGCCGTTCGGGTCGCGATCCCTGAGACCTCGTGGAAAACTTTAGATCCTTTGTCTTTTCTTCGACGCGCTCGGGGTCTCGGGTCCCCGGTCCCTCGGGGCCGACTCGCTCCGGTCCGAGTGGATGTCGAGTGGATGTCGCCAGGGCCGGGCCTTCGCGGTCTCGTCGTCGGGAGAGGAGTTGCTCCATTCTCGGGGGATCTCCCCTTTCTCGTCGCGGTTGGGGTTTCGGCCCGGGGAAGAAACGTCCGACTCGAGTGGTTTCCGTTCCGTATCTGGTGGCTGACGGTGTTGGGCAAGATACTCGAGAGTTTCATCGATCGTAGTCTCGTTCGCAGTTGACATGAATAATAACTTACAATGATGAATCACACACAAAGGGACTGCCGAATCTCCCCTCTAATTGGCTTCTCTGGGTGACGCATTTAAAATTCATTTTTGATACCCTAAAGGACTGAAGTCAAAATATCAGCGACCGGGCGGGGTCGATTAAAAATGATGGCGGAACGCGTCACCCGGCTGATGTCGGTGCGCCAGATGGCTTTTCCTTTACACCCTTTAGAATTTAACGTTTTCGTCTCCAGTATAAGAGGGGGAATTAATGGTCGATTATATGCCCCGACGAGAGGCCTGCGATTAAATGCGTTACAGTAAAACCCGGGATATCCGACCCCCTCTGAAAGGCCTAAAAAAAAGGAAGGCCTCAAAAAAGAAAGCCTTAAAAAAGATGGTTCGCCAGCTGTCCTGCTGTTTCCCTTTAGCCTACGCACAAAACTACCATGTCAGTCTTTGGATTGGAAGAAGACTTAGGGATTTTCCTTTATTTTTCTAATCGCCCCTGGATCGATCACCTGTTAACCGGTTGATGCAGTGCTTGGTTACGCTGTGAAACCTTAAAATCGCACCCGAAATTAGGTATATTTAAATGTAAAAAAAAAGCCAACTCCCGCATATCTGAAAATTTCGACCCTCCGAACCCCCTTTTCCCCGAATTATTCCGCAAATGCGAGATTCTTCTATATTTTGAAATAACGGTGCTATTCATAATATTGGGATGTTTTTTTTTTTAAATACAGTTATGTGGTATTGCATTCATAACGATAAAAAAAGACGCTGCTTACTCGAAATAACCTGGAACAGCTTGAAAACAAGTCTCAATTGCCATTTGACCCAAAAGAAAAAGTGAAACGTTTATGTCTTGCTACACCTTCCGTAATTACCAATGAGCCTCTTAGAACGGCTTTTGGAGACAGTGTTGCCGATCCCAATTGTGAGTTTCCTCAATGGTGAACAAATCTTACATTTCCTTATAAATATCGGAAACTGATTTTTTTATTCTCGAATTTCAACTCCACAACTTCTAAAATACTTAATCAAGATGCTTTTATATAATGACGCTCGAAACCAAACTTTCAATTATAAATACTGACAGAAAAGCAATTAAAATAGTAATTTATTACCCCGCAGCCCTGATTCTCATGACAGATGATTGTCATAACCAAACACATCAGCAGAGAAACATAAATTCTATCTCATAAATATCTAGCGTCGGTTTTCCTCCGCATGTCCTTTGTATTCGAGCGCAAACTCATGAAGTTATCACTCAATTACAAGGATAATAAATGGGAAAAGAATTACATTGTCCCATATCAGCTCTGGATAAATCCCCCCCCCCCTTTTCCCCCCCGCAGTTATGAATGCCAGATGAACGACAAACAATAACGGATCGGGGATGAGAACAGCTGTTCATTCCCCTCTATTCGTGTAGGGTAAGCTCTCAGGGTAACTCTGCGTCGGGGGTAACTGCGAAAGCGTTTCCCCTTAGTTGACCACCTTTTTTTCCATATTGATGTCGTGAAGCATTATTCTGAATAGGTTTACATGAAAACTGGGAAGAGACTGAATGAGGAAAATATATTTGAAGTACGAGAATTATTTTCGTGTCGTCCGGAGCCATCTCGTAACCATTTTGAACGCTGCTTTTGTTCTTACAAAGGTATTGATAAATAAATTCAGACTCTGTCTCGAGGTTGAAAGATTGAGAGATGGATTTTTGCCTTGTGCTCATCAGGAAAAAAAAACTTGGTTAATCTTGATGTCTGGTCCAGGCTTATGAAATTGAGAGTAGTCGTGCAAGTTTTCCTCTTTTAACGACTATTTTCCCAGATCTGTGGTGGGGAAAAAAAGAGAAAAAAGGGATGCCAAAACGAAAGCAAGCAAATTCCATGTTGCAGGAAGCTCTGCTCAAGTTCGTGCGATAATTGAACATCATCCTCAAACCCAGAAAAACTAAACCCAAAGGATCTGGCTTGTGCACGTGCCACCCAGGTCATAAGAGGATAAGATTGCTGAACATTATGGACTTGGAACATTATGGAAAGAAAAAGGTAGACCGTTTGAACTCGCCAGTCACGTTTAGTACGCTTTAGAAATTGGCAGTGAGATTTTTGAAGCGTTTTCACATCATCAGAGTGGTGCACTGCTGTAAGGTTTGTTTGGTTGCCTGATTTTTCTTTCGCTAAAGCTTATAAGAAAAGGTCTACTCACCGTGCCCTTCCTCTTTGTGGCTCATCGATTTGTCGTGGAGTTAATTTTCTGAAACCATCCCAGTTAGTCGAATATACTAATAACTCTCCCCTATTCTTCGATTTCTGCATTCCTTTCACTGCATTGTCTCCCTTTCCATAGCAATCCCATCGGTGGAAAAAACAGCTTCCCGCGACTGAGAGCACAGCTAGGAAATTTTCCAAAAATCAGCACTCTGCCTTGAATGATATACATGAGTCATGAAGAAACCGTATATATTGGCAACATATATACCGGTGATATTCATATAATCATAAATAAAAATGGGTCTGGCGGTCCTGGGCCAGCAGGATGAGATCTTATGACAATTACTCCGCAAAGTAAAGGTAGAGTTTGATGGCATTATTCCCGAGAATAGTTGTCATTCAGACGGGGAATCTCTCGGCTTCCTCAGACGCTTCAGCGGCCTTCCGACATACGCCACAGCAGGGGAGTCTCATCATGAAGGTGTCGTAGGGCTCCAGGCTGTGGAGGGGTCTGGGCAGGAACTTCCAGTTCTTCAGGACTGGAGGCAACCAATCGGGTCGCTTTCTCTGAAGGATGTTGATGACGACAGCAGCAATGAGGACCAATAGGAAGGGACCTCCGACCCCCAACAACACCCATATCCCGGCCAGGGAAAGAAGGAAGACCAAGAGGGGAAAGAGGCAGAACATGATCAACAAGTAGATGGCTGCAAACCATCGATACTTGGCTGTCGTCTCGCCCAAAATCTTGGCCAAGGGGATGGGGAATCTCATGAAGGGAACGACGTAAAAGAGCAAGATTCCTGTGACGTTGAAGAGAAGGTGACAGAAGGCGGCCTGGAGTGAGGGTTTCAATTTGTCTCCGTCTGCGGCCATAGCGGCCAAGATCGCCGTGGAAGTGGTACCGATGTTGGATCCCAGAGTCAACGGGTACATCCTTTCGACCGAGATGACCCCGATCCCCACCAGAGGAGTCAAGGTGGAAGTGAAGACGGAGCTGGATTGGACGAGGAAGGTCATGCCGGCTCCTACGACTATGGCGACGTAGCCGGTCAGCCACGGGACTCCAGGAAGATCTGCGTTCACGTATTTCTTCGTCGCCGCTGCGAACGTGCCTGTGAATGAAAGACGCTTTGGGATGAAGCCCAGGGAACTCGAAATCGCGACCCGCCCAACGTTTCAGGCCGAATATACACAATATAAGATAATCGTTTGATGATTCCTTCCACGATTTAACCCTTGGGTCCGCTGAGAAGTTCGATCTTGGCGATGCATACCGAAACGAGTTTGAGACTCCTGGTCTTGCCCTTATGGTGATTGTTTCCTCAATATGAAGCATCTGATTCCGACAAGTTTTCTCTCTATTTACAAATATGGCCCCCTTAGTTTCACTCACGAGACGCTTGTGCTCATGAGGCTAAGGAGGCATGCTTGCAGAACGGTAACTATGGCGACTAAGATAATAATAAGGGGGCTATCGCCATGTGACCACGACAGTCGGCATCAGCGTACGTAGGTTCTTTTCCAACTTTTGCTCTATCTCGACTCAAACAGTTTTGGGGGAAATGAATAGGGAGAAATTCGTGATTTAAAGAGCTCTAAACGAGAACCGGACCGCAGACCTTGGAGGATGAGATTGAGTTTGTTGACCATGGTGAGGAGGCAGTAGATCATCAAGCCGAGAGACAAGACGAGAAGGAGCCCTCCCACGCCGGCGTCGCTCATCCCCGTGTCGGAAAAAAAGTAGCAGCCTAAAGACGTTCAAGGAGAGCATTTATGATTAACGCTTTATCGGTGGGAAATCTTCGAGTGAAGCGGGGAATGGGCACGGACACGACTCCCCGCTGTCTCCCGTGCAGTGCTTCAAAAGACTCGCGTTGTTGTAATAGGGGTCGTTTTCGGCCCATCCGTTCAGAACGTTCTTGTCGATCTGCGTATCGGAAAAAAAAAATTCGTTTCGACCCGTTTCCGGTGGGACAGACTTCGAGATCCGTGGAAGAAATTCTCGAACCTGAACGATGCGATCGACGAAAGGGTCCGTGATGGCGGAGAGGAGTTGGACCTCGGCGTCTTGAGTCCCGACGTTTCTCGTCATCAAGTCGCTCACTCTCTCCAAGTAATCTGCAACCAGTCGAGAATTATTGCATCCGAGTGCACGCCGATTGGAAAATTAAGGCACTCTTCATTCTTCCTTTTATCTGATGGCGTCAACTGCAGTCCTTTGAATCCGAGCGCATTTTTTACATCAGAGGTTACTTTGACGCCGTACGATCCTTCGACGGAACATCGTTAACGAGATCTGCAAACGGACGAGATCGGACGCGACGAGATCGATCCCTCGGGTGGCAGGGTGGCACTCACGGGTGGCCATTTCGACGGGGAGGAGGACGATGACGCAGAGCCAGTTGAACATGTCGTGGATGGTGGCGCCGGTGAAGGCCCGGCGGAAGTCGTCGCGGTTCCCGATTTGGCTCAGCGCCACGATCGTGTTCGTGACCGAGGTTCCGATGTTGGCCCCCATGATCATCGGGATCGCCTGGCGGACTGTCATGACTGAAAAAGCGGGGGAGTCCTCGAATGACGAACCGTGAGGCGAGCTCGTGGGAAGGCTTTCTTAAAATGTAGTTTGGTTTTCGCTTTTAAATTTTCATATTGAATTTTTCGGTAAATTGGAATAGAATAATTCAGGATCCTTAAGTCTTTTCATTTCCGGACTCGTCTTTTCCCGCGAGACAACGATTTCTTCCTCACTTCCTGCCGTAACCAAAGAAACGATGATGGACGTGGAAGTGGAAGAGCTCTGGACGAGGACCGTGGCCAGGATCCCGATCACGACGTCCACGACCGGATTCTGCAGCAAGTCCGCGTCCGAAAATATCTGACCTGCATCGAAACACACGGCGTATCTTGCATGCCAAAACGAAAACGAAAAATTTGCCAAACGAAATATTCGTCTCATACTTGCGGCCCTCCCGCCGAGAAGCCGGAAGGACGAGGACAGCAGATGCAAGGAACATATGAAGAAATAAAGAGAAATGAAGATGATGAGAAGTCGAAAGGGAAGTAGGAGATAGAACTTCCCCGATTGCTGCGCCGGATCAGAATCCTCTGAAAGCACGAAAAGCAGAAACGGTTCCCTTACTCGGTTTGCCTCGTGCGCGAACAACAGGATTTGGATCATAGTATGCCCAATAGATGGAATTCGAGTATATGTATTGATAATTTTAATTCGCATAAATTTTTCTTCATAAATTCTTAATAAATTCTTACTGTCATTAACGTATTTCATTTCCTAATTTTCCTCATTCACACAATTATTGTTAATTTCTCATAATGTTTTCCTTGACGACCGCACGCGAGGGCATTAGGGCAAATGCACCGTCAGATTACCTTTGGGTTCAACGAGGGGGTTTTTGCTACCGGCCCCGGTCGGCTCAGGCTTATGGATGGAATCCGCGTCCCCGTTCGCATTCTTCTCCGAAGGTCCGAGCTGCCCCTAGACGTCGAAGACTCCCTCAAAAAAACCCTCGACCTCCCCCAGCGGCGAGGACGGACTCGAAGAGGGAGGACTCACCGGGTCGTACACCGTCTGGATGTTGTCGTGGAAGCGGCCCTCCATCGTCGCACGGTCGGGAACGGACTGGGGGGAAGACGGGGAATTCCTCCCACTTAAAAAGCCGATAAGACCGCGCGTGATGCGACGGAAAACCCGGACACCCTTTTGCAACCGGCAGTCGCTCTAATATTTACCCGGTGCACTTAGCCAAATTTGCCAAGGGCAAACGGCAATTCAACGACAGCAACAACAACAAATCTTGCGGCCCGGAAATCCAGTTAAAAAACGAGATCTCGTCCTGTTTGAAATTCGAATCCTCGTCTACGGCCGGTGAGATCTGGTCCCAGTTAAGCCACGGAAATTTACGGCACACCTACACGCAATTGGAGTGAATGCCACGATACGCCTGTTTATAATGAAAGACATTGACCAGATCGGGTCGAAGAACCTCGGAGAAAATATTCAACTCTCTGGAAACCTTAATGCGTCACGCCCAAACGAACTCATACGAGCTCTCGAGCGGGAATGTACAGGGCGTTCCAAAAGTGACTTTCGCTTCTCGGGCGTCTGTGGAGCGCAAGCGAGAAGACTTTAGACGCTTGAGAAAGGTAGGAATCGACTATTTATCGTTGGATTAGGTCATCCAAAAGCCATTAGGAAAGAGTAGGAAGTAAAAAGCAAAATTTGAACCCCAAACCCATCCAGTCATATGTCCGGACGAAATGGGGGGGGGGGGCTTCAACTCGGGTTGATAAGAAACTGTACTTACTTCTTGGAATGAGGGCAAGAGGATCTCATGAAGGCGATTAGTTTAAGTGGGGTGTCGATGAATTGAGCTTATCAAGCTCAAGCACATGGACGGATCGAGATGGCCACTTGGTTCGGTCCTTGCATGCTTCCTCCTTCGCATGATACCCAAAGCTTTTGCCGTGGCATTCTTCGCGTGGCAGAATGACCCACGAATCAGACGATAGTTGGATTGTCATTCTAGGGTTATGGGTTATGGCGGGACTTCATTCACATAGAGGTTTGTTTTCCCCCACCAAGACAGCATGAGCAGACGACAGGATCTGCGCAGATCCTCTCGCATGTTCTCACTCCGTATTCCCGTTTCACCTCCTCTCTTCCCCTCCGGAATTCTCGTACGAGGACGTGCCTGACTCCCCTCTCACCTCCTTCCCTCCCCTCCGGAATTCTCGTACGAGGACGTGCCTGACACTCCCCTTTTACTTCCTCCCCTCCCCTACAGAATTCTCGTGCCAGGACGTGCCTGACACTCGCCTTCTCGCCCCCCATGTCGCCGTCTGGACGTGTGACTGGGACAGGGACGTGCCTTCCTTCTCTTCTACCTCTTCCCTCTTCAAAATCCCGTCCCCATGCAACCTACTGAGGGCAATCTTTTTTTCACTGATGGCATTCGCGCTTGGCTGTGTGTGGAACCATCATATATCAATAGGCTTTGGTAGCGCCTATTACCTTTCTCCTCCTGTGACAAAATTTAATCTCCTCGTATTCCTCTATGAGAGCATTGACAGGAACGAAATTGGACATATTTCTTCCTCTCTCAACACAGAATCGCTCCAGCAAATTTGAAGCTCCGTCTCCCCGGGGTTGTGGAGAACACTGAATCTTGTTTTTGGAAAATGTGAATTTCATTCCGTTCCCTCCCCCCCTCCGCTCCCCCTCCCCCCCTCCCCTCCCCCCTCCCCTCCCCCTCAGGAACAGGATGAACAGGATGGCGCCATGCATCAATAGCATGGCATCACCATGTATTTCGTGCTTCCCGGAGGCATTCTCTCCTCAGGCCTCGTCGGGACAGTTCGAGGAACTCGATAGGCCTAACGTTCCACGTCCACACTGAAATGGTTCATGAAACTCGAAACAGGCCTCGAATCGGCCTAACGTTACACGTTTGACGAGAGGTCTCGATGACCATGGATTGGTCGTTATAGTCCTAATCGGCCACGTATGTCGAGGATTGAGTTTCTTTAAGCGAAAAAAGACAGGCATAGGCCCGACCGAGACCGAGACAGTACGTCGGTAAGGCCTAGGCCGTTCACTCGCGTTCGTGAGTCCCATAGATAAGGGGGCTGAGGCTGAGGTCGATGGAAAGGAAAAGCCTTTGAAAAGTTGTTTTCACTTTATGGCATTTTATTTAGTAAAAGTTTAGAGACCTAAGCGGCCCGATCGGTCCCACTCGAGGAGAAGCTCAAGCCCGTGAAGCTCTGCCGACGCGGGCGTGGGACGTGATTCCACTCGGGCGAACCGGGTCGAGTTCGGAAAAGTTTATCTGTGCAGGCTTCGGGCGGTAGAGAAGAATGAGGAAATCATAAGCGATTAGGACAAGTGGAGTGCTGGCGCCTAACAGGTGGAAGGAGGGGGGGGGGGCCACGAGTGGTTCCATCCCTCCCTTACCTCTCACAGTCTGAGAGGTAAGGGAGGGATGGAATGATAGTGCATCGTCTGCTACGATTTACAAGTACCGGAACGAGGATAAAGTCCAACCGTTCGATAGCCCGTAAACCTAGAATGACGATCCAAGTATCCTCTGAATCGTAGGTCATTCTGCCACGTGATGCGCGGAAGCAGCTTTGGATATCATGCGAAGGAGGAGGCATGCCGGGGAAAACGTGACTGATTCTTGCAGGATTTTCCGACTCGACGTCTGTGAAATCGCTATAAATCAGATAATTATGAATATATTGGCATGTAATGGGGCAGAGCCCTTCGTGAGAGTCGTCTCTAAAGATCGATCCACAAAAATGATAATATCTCCTCTTCGTTCCAGAGTGATCCGGGTCCGGCGTTCGAAACGGCTAAAAACGCCTGATTTTCGAGAGGAATTTCAAATTCTGCCAATTCTGCCAAAAACTGCCAATAAGATTCGAACGCCACTTTGCATGGAGACGCAACCGGACCCGCTGCAAAATCGAAAAATCCATACGAAGTTCGGAGATAGAATCCAAGGAAGAGAACGAGACCGATTAAAAAAATTCTGCGTTTATCGATGCCTCTGACCCATCGAGATCGTGACCTTTCGACCCTACTTCCTGTCCACCCCACTGACCTTCGACCTCTCGAAAAAATTTTGGTTCTTGAGGGGATTCCTGTTTCCCCAAATTCCCGAGTCTGTCAACCGTTCTCGACGATGAATCGGAGGAATTATCTCCGCAGTGACAATCGTAGTCTAAAGTTAGACTCCCGCGCTTAATCTCTCCCCGATATATATTTTTTCCCATTCAAGAAAATAGTAGTCGCATTCCTACGAGGATAGTAGCTCGTAGCCCCGTGCAATTGGCAAGGCCAATGTCCGCCAATGTCCGCCAATATTCGATGGAGTCGAGAAATTGCTTCATGTAAATATTACTTTTTTTTCATTTCCCACGTCTTCGTTAAGTCTATTTCTTATGTGGTATTACCAAAACAAATTGACTCTTCAATCAAATATGGCGCGATAATAAACTTCAGTTTGTGCGTTCATAATTAAAAAAAAACGTGCAGAAGTATCAACCGACGCGTCACGCGACGAGCAAAAAGAACGTGAATTGACCCTCGAAATGCAATTAATCTGACTTCTGTTAACGACAGCAATTAAATTTTTATCAGCTGAAGAAGCCAATTTTATTTTATGAACGGGATAGGGATCAAGTTTCATCAGTCTTGAATTGCAGCAGAAAATTTTCATGCAAATTTTGCATCTACTATTGAAAAAGTGGCCCAGGAAGAACATTTTTTTCTTCCATACTTTTCGCTGTGAAAAACTGAGCGCAATGTTGCCGGATATTAAAGCGATAAATTGAACAAAATAAATTGGAATTGGTATTACAGCTGCCCCGTTCTCGCACCGTGGAGAGGACTGTCGGCAGGCCGTGAGGGTGTCATCCGTGACCTGGCGTGACCCGAGGAATCACCAGACCAACGCGAACGTACAGCTTCTGTGCCATTTCGCGAAGTATTCTCACGTGCTTGCAAGCTCTTTTAACGTGGTTTCGAACCTCCGCCCGGTCGTCCAATGATATACGAACCGACTTCAGACCGGTGTAACACGTGCGGAGGGGGCCCGACTCCGACGTCAGAGTCGACCCCGGTCGACCCCCTCCGTGACCGCCGCACGCCGATGCACGTACTCGTGCAAATGCACTCGACAGAGATAACGGCCGAAATTCGTCCCCGTCGGGACGGGCGAATTTCACGCGGGGAGGACGTGGAGGAAGCATGCAGAGTGCACTCGTCATCGCTCCCCCCTTGTGACCCGACCGTGCCTTGGCGTGCACGTGCATACCCTTATCTCGACGGAATCGCCGTCGAGCATCCGGGAACGTGAGTTTAAACATCGGAACTCGGTCTCGAGTGGGACGCAAAAAAAAGACTCCATGAGATTGTGTCCTCGAAGAAATATGCGGCGGCAATTATCGGTGGCGGCTCGTGGACGAAAAATCTGGCGAAGCCAGCCCATCATCTTTATAATGAATTCATCGTAGTATTCATGGGAGCACGAAACACGAAAGTTGTGCTTAGTCGTTCAGCGAAGAACCGTTTCGTGTTTGCGGTTCATATTGCATCGAAACCGCACCGAAGCCGAGCGGTAATCGAAACCGATCGAACACTCGAGCGCGGGAAGAGGCGCATCCGACCGGAAGAGGAAAGAAGTGGTCTGACGACTTTCTCCCCTTGCGAGTTTCACAACTGCGGAGATACAAATCGGCAGCGCGAATTTGGACGATCGAAAAGCCCTCTACTTGAAGCAAAGGAGCCTAAAGACAAACTAGCTCTTGCTAGCAGGCGCCCGCTCGTGCGCAATGCAGAGAGAAAGGAGAGACCTGCCTCCCTTCTCCAATATACTCTCGTATTGCCGTTGCTGCGGGATGCCCCTATGCGTCCGTTTCCTAGCCGGAGGAGACCTCCAGGCTCTGGCCTCTCATACGCGATTTGGGGCAAGCTGTCTAGAGTCTCAACTTCGCTCGTTTTGTGTCGACTGAGAATGAATCCAATGATTATCAGAGACTTCTTTAAGTTAATTGCTATCCGAATGGATATTTTTAATTGCATGGAAAAGGGTCTCCTTAGAATATTTGAAGAGGCAGGGCCTCCCTTGCCTCCCTCACTCCCTCGACTCCCTTGCCTCCCTTGCCTC